CTGTACTTCCCTCCTAAGCAGTTGCCTCATCAGTGGCTGCAGGGTAAGGATATGTTGGGAAATATCAATTCCTAGGGAGGATAAGTCATACATCTAAGTTTCCATTAATGTTGTCCGTTAAATGGATGGGTGACTTCACATAATTTTTGGATTTTTAACATTTTTTATTTCTTTTTCAAGTAAAATCCAAAAAGGTCCTTTGGGAAGGATCAAGGATCAGGGTTGATCCTCTGCTGAGTTATGTTGTTTGCAAAATCAAGTTTTTCTCTGCAGCTCTGAGAGGGTATTGTGGGATTCACATTCTCTAGAAAGATCCCTTTGCCCAGGATTTTTCTCTTGGGAAGCTGAGAAACCTCAGAAAAAAAGGAAAACAATAATTATCTCATTTACTTCTCCTGTTTTTTGCTCCTTTGGAATGTGTTTGGATATTGTTTACCCACAGGTGATTGTTTCATTGGTTTCATGTGAGTTATTTTGACTCATTGGCCAATCAGGGCCAAGCTGTGTCAAGACACTGCAAAGTCATGAGTTTTCATTATTATCTTTTTAGCATTCTGGAAGTGTCCTTTCTGTACTCTTTAGTATAGTATTCTTTAATATAATATAGTATCATAAAATAATAAATTAGCCTTCTGAGAACATGGAGTCAGATGCATCATTCCTCCCTGCCACGGGGGACCCTGCAAATACAACAGGGTATGAAAATATTTACGTTTATTCTGACATAGAGAAGGAACAGATTCTACATATCCACCCTTAAGGGTCTGCTAATACAGAAAATTCATGCTTGTGGATGGAAACCACGTGGGTGAGATTGCTCAATATTTAATCCTGTATGGTTTGGGGAGTCACACCGTACCCCTGACAGCTTCCAGGCTAAGGACCCTGGGAGATTTGGGAGCATTGGTGGTTTTTTGGTGAGAGGAGGCCCTCTCTGGCCTCACAGCCCCACCCAGCAGGGACAGGGATGCTCGGGTGTGTTTTCTGCTCCCTCACAACAACAGGTGGCTGTCCTCCCCCGCAGGCAGGGCGTGGAGGAGGTGAGGAATTTACTCAATACTCCATTTATTCCCAGTGTCTGATGGGAGTAAGGTGGGGGCAACCTGTGCTGGTTCAAGTGATACTCACACAGACTGGTAGAGGGTTTTCTTGCCCAGTTGGTTTGGAATAGTGGCACCTCCTGAGCCTTTTTGGGAGCTGGTCCTTCAGACCCACACGTGGGAACGTACAGAGCAGTCAGTGACTCAGCATTGGTAGCACTGTGCCTCTTTATATTTTGTAAAAAAATCCCATTTTCTATAGCACATGGACAAGTGGGAAGGGAAGAGCCTGCAGGAATGGCTGTGAGACCTGCAGTGCTCCAAGATGCAGCAAAAATTCCAAAAGATGCTCCAAAACTGTGCAAAAGTTCCAGTAACCACTTCTAAAAGCCAAAGAATGCCAAACTCCACTAGAGGCCACTCACCAAACACAGAGCAGTACATCCAAACATTCTCACTTCCCAGACACATCCCTCAGGTCTGGGACACTGCAAATGATAATGAAAAGAGGGGAAAGGCATTCTTCTATTTCTCAGTGGGAAAAGTTTTAAAATATACTGGCATTTTGCAGACAAATGAGGCACCCTGAGTGCCACTGTAGATGTGTCAAGTGGGACAGAGACTTTATGTGAAATCAAGCTTTGGAAAGGAAAACTTGTCATTTTCCTGTGAGAAAATAGGGCAGCCTTCCATAAGAGTACTTCATAAAAATACCCAGTCTGCCCAAATTTACCATTTGATATATAAAGAGATTACTCATTTATTTAAAGGATAGTTACTGAATAAGTTTTAAAGTGTTGTGAGACTCTTGTGAATTAACATTCCTTAATGTGATGGAAAGAAGCTCAATCCTGACCTGAACTTCAGGGCCCATTTGGGCTGACAGCAGAGCACTCAGAATTTGATACTGTCATTTTCCATCAGTAGGTCTGATATTGTATATCAATAAAAGTCTGTCAATAAAAGCTGAGCCTGTCCTGCAGACTCTTGGATACAAGGCTTTTCTGCAGATAGCTGTGCTGGGAAGCTAATGTGGTTTGGTTGCTGATTTAGTAAGTTAGAACAGGTAAGTGGTAGCTTTTGAATGGAGAACTTTTCCAGGGTAAGTCAGATGCTGAGCCTGGGCTGAGCTGCCTCATGATGGCTCAATGAGTGACACATACCAAACCAATTTGAGCAGCATGGATTTTTGTTAATTTTAAATGTCATTGTCTAACTCAGTAGCCATCTGTCTTAGTTGGATTAATATCCTAATCATCACAAAAAAAATTTGGCTCTTGTGCAGTACTGAGAGTCGAGGAGCCAACCTTCAGATGCTGTGTGATCCTGCCTGGTGTTGTCCCCATAGAGGATAACCTGCATCCTGCCATTTTTCCAGGGAAACACAGCCAAGCATGGCATGGAGAGACACTGCTGAGAGTGAATGTTTTGCTGTGTTCCCTCACAAAATCACTGTTCTGGTTCACTGTCCCAAGCAAGGCTGGACAGGGCTTGGAGCAGCCTGGGATAGTGGAAGGTGTCCCTGCCTATGGCAGGGGGTGGAACAAGGTGGTCTTTAAGGTCCTTTCTAACCCAAACCATTCTGGGATTCTGATTCACAGGGGTTAATGAAGTAAAAAGGAATTATTCAGCATAAGGAAGCAATGTTTAAATGGTTTTGTACTCAATACATCAGTGAGAAGTTGCACTAATCCTGCCCACAGATCCAGTGTATCCAGGGGGGATTTTACCTGTCATTCTGCTTCCTCCCCAACCATCTGTAAAAGTCCAGATATTCCCAGTCCAAACAGCTCACCCAGACCTTCAAAGGGAAGCAAAAAAACCTGTTGTACACAGAGCATTTGAAGAAAAATTTCACGCTACTATCACAGGCCCATGTGACAGCGTCTTCTCTAATTTTGCACTGGGTTTCTGTGAGGACTTCACACTTTCCAAGCCCTTGGAGAGAGGAGAATTGGCAAATAAGAGTGTATGTACGTGTGGAAAACATCCAGGGGATTTTATTGCTGAACTGGAGCTGGACTGTAATAAAGTGGATAAGCTGTGTAAAATACCTGCCCTTTAGAGATGTGGCTGAAACAATTCACTGAAGGTTTTGCTGTGAGAGGCAGTGGCTCTCCCAGGAGTGCTTTCCCATATTTGGTTCCATCTTTTCCATCCACAGCAGCAAAGGCTACCTCTGTACGTCACTCATAGGGCTGGGTCAGATTGTTGTTCCATAAATCCAAATAAACATTTCTTCCCCCTGTGAGATTCCATCAGGAATTTGAATCCAATCATATCTTTCAGTGCTCAGTGAGTTTATTTTCCATTTGCATGCTCCCTGTTAGTCTGTGTCCAAAGCTGTTCCCACTATTCCTTATTGCAGTGCCAGGCCTGGGCATCTCCTCAGCTTTCTTTGGAGGAAAACAAATGAAAAATCTTTGGAGGAACTCGTCTGTCTTTTGAGGAAGAAAACCCAATACAGATATGAGAGAACATGTTATTATGAACTGGGGTCTGTTAGGAGAGCAATGTCAATTGGGCTCCCAAAACTTACACTCCATTTTAATTACTGAGTGATACTGGGGAGCCTAAGAGCATGGGAGCATAAAATGTTTGTATTCAGCTCAGTTCATATAAAGCAGGACTAAGGAAGAGGTAGAGTGTCTTATAAGTTTTTTTATCTCATTTCCTGCTGCTGCTTCTTCTTTTTATTTTAAACCTTGCTTAAATTTTGGCTTTATTCTCTTTCCTCTTTAAAGTTCTGTCTCTTTTTGATATCTCGTGTGCAACTATTCACTAAATGGGTTCTAATGTCAGAAATACATAGTTCCAGCAGGTGATGAAACATTTCTACATTTGTGAAGCTCCATTGTTTAATTACCATTCAAGTGAAAGAGAACAATTTAATGTTTTCCCTCTTGAATGGGAGAAATGCCTGAGAATTTTCAAACCACTGACAATTCCTGTGTGTGCCCTGTGGGCTCTTCCCACTTACACCACTTCAGCTTTGTTGGTTCAGAGAGAGGTGTCAGCAAACACAGGCTCCAGGACACATTCTGCTATGTTTCTCTGGGTTTTTGGCTGTCATTAATGTGGCTTTTCCTATCTTCTGCAAGGTTTTTAGAGGGGTGTGAGCCTTTCCTGGCAGCAGCAGGTTTGTGTGATGTCCATTTTATGGAGGCTGCTGCAGACATCCATTCAAGTGAAAGAGAACAATTTAATGCTTTCCTTCTTGAATGGGAGAAATGCCTGAGAATTTTCAAACCACCGACAATTCCTGTGTGTGCCCTGTGGGCTCTTCCCACTTACACCACTTCAGCTTTGTTGGTTCAGAGAGAGAGGTCAGCAAACACAGGCTCCAGGACACATTCTGCTATGTTTCTCTGGGTTTTTGGCTGTCATTAATGTGGCTTTTCCCATCTTCTGCAAGGTTTTTAGAGGGGTGTGAGCCTTCCCTGACAGCAGCAGGTTTCTGTGGTGTCCATTTTATGGAGGCTGCTGCAGACATCCATTCAAGTGAAAGAGAACAATTTAATGCTTTCCTTCTTGAATGGGAGAAATGCCTGAGAATTTTCAAACCACCGACAATTCCTGTGTGTGCCCTGTGGGCTCTTCCCACACCACTTCAGCTTTGTTGGTTCAGAGAGAGGTGTCAGCAAACACAGGCTCCAGGACACATTCTGCTATGTTTCTCTGGGTTTTTGGCTGTCATTAATGTGGCTTTTCCCATCTTCTGCAAGGTTTTTAGAGGGGTGTGAGCCTTCCCTGACAGCAGCATGTTTCTGTGGTGTCCATTTTATGGAGGCTGCTGCAGACATGCTGCCTGTGGTGCCAACAGCCAGCAACACCCTCCAGATGCTGCTGAGGCTTTGCAAGAACTTGTGGGGCTCAACAGGCAGCCAGAGCTTCTGTCCACCACCTTTGCTGAACAAAAACCACCTTTCCCAAGCACGGAGCCCTCTTTGCTGGGGTTCCCTACGTGGTGGGGATCCTGCTGTGCATCTCCACGTCTGTGAAGTGCTGCACGTTCTCAGTGCTCTCTGGGGAGGTGATGGGGGACACAACGTGCTTCAGGCGCAGGAGCATGGAGAAGAGCAGGATCAGGAGGAGAGCCAGGAGGGTTAGGAACAGCCCCACGTACACATAGAGGCCAGAATATTTGTCTGCTGTTGTGTCTACTTCAGTAGCCAGAGTTGGAAGGTGGACACGGCCAGTCAGGTTTCCGCGGAACTTGAAGTAAATCTCAGTCATTGCTCTCTGTCAGCTTTGGTCCATTTTCTGTATTTACCTTCAGATGTCCTGTCTCCCCTCACCAGACTCACAGAGGAGGTTCAGGAGAGGAAACTCAGCACAGATGGCAGGATGGCTTCAGCAGGAGCTGCTCCATCCCCCCTCGGTGTCGAGGCTGCTGCTCACACAACTGAGCACGCCATGAGGGACAGGCCTGTGCAGACCATTTTGCACCTTGCTGTCATAATGACAACGAGCATCACACTCCTGCTTTGCACTTCCTTCTGGCTTTTATTTCATCCTAAAAATACTTTGGGCCTCCTTTTGCTAGGTCACCTCCTTTGGCTGGTGGAAAGCTTTGGTTCCTCTCTCAAGCTGAGCTGCGAAGGTTGGCACAGCTTTGGTCTTTGCAAGTGTTGTTTTTTCCAGACAGACTGAGCAATCAGCTTTCTGCCAGCTTCTCTCTCCCACAGCAGGTGGTTTATCCTTGGGTGAGCTGGGGAAGGTTGTTTTCTGCTTTGCCAAACGTCTGGAAGGATCTCTTCTCTCCTAATTCAGGGGCTTAAGGAGTCTGGAGTTCTGAGTTTCTCATTAGGAACGGTCAAAAAGTCAGATTTCTGAAAGGAAAAAAGTGTGAGAGAGAGAAATGACACCAGGTACCAAAATAGCCTAGCCTGGATGTGGTATCTTTAGAGCAAATAGATAAGAAAACCCCTGTCATGCTCCTGGGAGACACTCTGAGATGAGGAGAAGCACTGAGTATTTAACTTTAGAAAAACACAGTGCAAATCTAATTGTTGATGTCCTCTCTGGTAACACATTTTAAGGGTACAAGAAGGCCCCCCAAGCTGTGCAATCAGATGTCAGAGAGGAAGGGGAGATATGAATCCAATCAGTGTTTTTCACCATGTGTCTCATTTACTGTGTATCAGCACCCTCTTTTTCTGATGCTGGGAGAGCTGTCCAGAGCCCTCCCTGTCCCCCTGGAGCAACTCTGCTGCAGGATGGGACACTTCCCTCTCCTCCTGGCAGCACAACTTACTAGAAATTGGGGGAATCTTAATATTTTTGCAGTTTCAGTTCTTCCAGCTGGAAACAGAAATGAAAAATCTGAAATTTCACTGTAAATGGTGCACTCAAAAGCATAATGTTCTGCTCTGATAAGACCAGAATTTTGGTTTTAGCTGAAACAAAAATGGAAGCACTGAACAAACTGATGCAATGATTTATAATGTCCACTGCCTATAAACCTACATGAGATGTAAATAGAGTAATATTAACATGGTAATATACTATGATAATCAGAATAAATGAAACATTAGGTCAATATGATAAAAGCTCTGACACATTTCACTTAAATGACAAATTGCTGCAAAACATTTTGACTTTCAAGGGACTCAAACTTTCACTACAAGCAAGAAAATCCTGCTTTGGCTCATGGGATAGGAAATATCTGATTTGCTGAGTTTTGGAGAAGGGACCTGGGGGCTTGGACACACTTTGCCTCCCAGCTCCTTCTTCAGGACCGAAGCATTTGGGCTCAGTGTTCTCCCAGGGGCTGGCCCAGCCCCTCTGGAGCCAGTTACTCTGGCAGAGGCCTTGGTGCTGATGCAGAGGTTTGGGCAGGGCAGCCAGGCCCTTTTGCTCTCAGTTACAGGGCAATAACCGTGATTTTCACACTTGGAATCTATAAATGGAAATTCTTCTCCCGTGAAGAATATTCGCATGTAACACAGCAGGTGGGAAATAGAGGGTGTGAAGGTAACTGTATTAAATTCTGTTCTTACAATATGATTTCTGTGCTGATAATGAAGTGCAAGCAGCCTGGAATCTGACACTTGTGTGAGTTAAAGCACAGAGCCATGTCTTTGCCCATCCCATCTGCTCTGCTGCTGAGAGAAAAAGCCAGAGCTGGTTTCTCTCCTTAACGAGCAGACAGCCTAATGGCTTTATATCCTTCATAAAATTAGACTGCAGAATGCTAAGGACATTAGTCTGAAGTTCAATAATTAACTACAAACCAAGATGCTGAATTAGTAAAGCTCAGCTGGGTATTTATTGAAAAAATGAGCAGATTAATAGTAAGAAGTATTAGCAATGGGGAGCTGGCAGTGTTTGGGGTTTTTTAGGCTCAACTATAGATTTGTCAGGAGCAATCAACTATTCAGACTATTGAAAGCTGCAACATTAACTGCATCTTCTCCAGAAATGAGCCAGAAATAATTCAATAGCTCTAGGCAACCCCAAAGATTTTTTGCTTTTCAATCTACCAATTATCCCATTGAGCATATCTCTTTGGATACCATTAGATTCAGATTTCGTACACTTCCCTTTAAGGAAGGGAAGCTGAATGACTGTGGAGACCAACATGATGTGAAAATAAGTGGTAGACAATAATTCTGTGTGTAAAGCAGGTCAGACTATAGCTGTGTATGACTCATATTAGAGGAGGCAGAACCTCACTGGTTACCACGAGGAGCCCTCAAGTTCATGGACACAGGAGCATTCCCTGTGATCTCAGTTTCCAAGATTCAGTCATTCTCTGGCTGAACAATGCTCCAATTCTGAGCAATCACTGGTGCTCCGTGGGTGCAGACTGATTCCAAGCAGACACTTGGGATTTTTTTATCAGTTTGTGGCTTTCTTTAATCAGGAATTAAAAAAACCCAAACCCAACACATTTCATTTAATAAAAATCTGCAATGAAAATAGAAGCCTTCATACACAACAGGAGAAGGGTTTTTTCCCACAGTGTGTCTCTGAGCCAGGAAATTCATCAGCCAAAACTTCATGGGCACTGACATTAGCAGCCTCCCACTGCAGCTCTCAGGGTGTGGGGAGCTTCAGCTCTGGGGAGCGTTTATGAAGCCTGCATTGCTCTACTCTGCACCTTTGGAGCTCACAGGGGAGCAGAAAGAAAGATTTTCCCCAAACAGTGCACACAGGCAGTACAAACTGATCCTGCAGCTGCAGTAAATGTTTTTGTCTTGCCCACCTGCTTCCTTCTACTCCCGTGCTCAGTGTGAGCACCCCTTGCCAGCACAGCACCTCTGCAAGGGCAGGCAACTTTCCTGAGCTCCCCTTGGCCTCTCCTCCCACTCTGGCTCCAACAAACAGGTAAGTGGGGCAAAATAGAACAATTCCTTGTGTAGCTTCTTTGAGTGCACCCAACTGGCTGGCAAGTACAGGATGGTTTGGGGTTGAACACACAGCACCAGGTGTGTTCTGTCCAGGTCACCTTTACAGAAAAATATCAGCACTGATAAACACCAAAACCCCCATCAAAACTATCAATTCCATCCATGGCTTGCATTTTCTCCCTCAGCTCCAGGGAGGGTCTGGAGGGGACAAGAGAGGCAGGGGGGTGATTGTGTCTCCTCTTCTAGAGGCAGAGGAGATATTTTGTTCTCATGCTGAACACGTGTGAGAGTGCTGGCCGTGCTGGTGCACAGGGAGAGAAGAGAATAAAGCACAGTTACCTTTCAGAGCCGGCAGCAGGGCTGGGACGAGGCTCCAGAGTCCCTGCTCCACACCAGGAGCTCGCTGCTGGTGTCCCCGGGAGCATCTCCTCGGTGGGATCTGTGCAGAAGGCTCTGCTGTCCTGGAGCCAGGACCGTGCCCTGCAGCCCAGCGCACTTTTCCTCCTCTGCTGTGGATCTCCGAGGCAGGGGTGGCTCTGAAATCCCGACCCTGGGATGCCACCAGGGCAGGGTGGCTCTGCTGATGGATGAAGGGCACTGCTGGTGATGGGCACGGCTGATGAAGGAGGGCACGGCTGATGAAGGAGGGCACCTCTTGGTCTCTGCAGGGGCAGGGCAAGGGCCGAGGAGCTGCTCTGGCTGAGCTGTTGTGGGATGGAGGCAAACAGAGCCTCCCTCCCTCCCTCCTTCCCTCGGCAGCACCAGGAGGGGATGAGCCGAGCTCCGGCTCCGAGCGAAGGGAGGGACGCTCTGAGCTCAGCTCGCTGCAAAGTTTGTGCGAGGCTCGCTTTAACTCCTTCTCTCTCGGTTTAACCCTTTCTCTCTCCGTTTAACTCTTTCTCTCTCGCTTTAACTCTTTTTCCCTCTCTTTAACCCTTTCTCTCTCCGTTTAACTCTTTCTCTCTCGGTTTAACCCTTTCGTGCTCGCAAGGCTGCGCTGCCCGCTGGTTGAGGAGTGAGACATCACCCTGGAGGGCAGCTTAGCCGTTCCTCTCATTTTCTGGGACGTTCAAAGTTTGGGGTTTTTTTGTTTGTTTTATGCCTCCTGGTGAGGGCTCCTAACCCCCCTATTAATCTGATCAGTCCTAACTCCTACTTCTGTCCCTTCCAGTCCTTGCCACAGGAATCACAATACTCCTCACAGACCGTAACTTTAACACCACATTCTTTGACCCTGCAGGGGGAGGAGAGCCTATTCTATGCATCCTGTCTGGAGCACGGACAAGGGTCACCTTCCAGCCCTCAGGACAGTCCCCAAGCGTTGCTCTTTGGCCGTGCAGCTTTGGGTGCATTTTTGTCCCTGTGCCTGCTGGTTGGTGGTTTGGGAAGGGCTGTGTTGAGTTTACAGGTCCTGCCCCCCCTGAGTAGTTTGGAATTGCAAGAATAAGCATAACCCCAACCCTGCAGTGCTGTGGGCAAAAATGATTTTTGCCAGTTTACGAATGTGTGAAGCACAAAAAAGAAATGTACAGACACAGAAATGAGGCAGGAGGAGCCAGGGCTGGGTGAGAACCCAAAGCACGTGGATCCCTCTCACTGCCACACCTCCCAACCTGCATTTCCTCACCTTCCCAGGCTGACAGAGCGGGGATGTTTTGTGACTGATGCCGCTTTGGGATGCACTGCAGCTGTCCCCAAGGTGTCCCCAGCACAGGAGATGCAGTTTGCAGCTCTGAGCACTCAGCTTGGGCAGCTGTATTTCATGTGCCCATGTCCCTGTGCCCCAGCAAGGGCTGGAGACACCTTCATGGGGTGAACCTCACCCACAGCCCCACTCTGACCTCTGGGCTTGTGGAAGTTCCCAGTTGTTGTTCATGGCCT